CGATTAGTCCCCAGGCCCGAGAGGCGGAGCCTCGGAAGCCGGGACCCGGGTCTGGTCGGCCGCGGTTCGCGCGGAGGGGTCTTCCCGGCGCGGGCGTCGCCCTCACGCTTCACTCGCGCTGCTTTGCACGTTAGCTTCGCACTGCCTGGTGTCGGGCCAGCTGGGCCTGCTATCGCTGCCGCCGCGACCTCGGTACCGAGCGCGCCTTTCCACCGCTCTGAGTGCCGGAGGACGCAGGGCTTTGACGTTCGGAGCCCTGCGTCTCACCCCGTGCGCTTTTACGTCACCTTTCACCGGTTCAACAACCTTCCCCCGGTCTGCGCATGCGCCCTCCTAAAGCCTTCGTTTGTTCCTATGGCAACGGATCCCTCACCAACGCCACCACCGCGCCTCTACCAATTTGCCTCGTTCTCCGGTCCAGGCTGATGTTAGGTTCGAAGGCGACCTCAAAGACCCCTCAACCTGTCCCCCAAGACTCCGAGCCTGTGCCTCATACTGACAACAGCAGGAACGCTCACCTCCGTTGAATACTCACCGCACGCCGGGCCCTGTACCAGACTGATCTTGGGTGAGAGCACCGATTGGAGTTAGGCTGATGGTTCGAATCTCATACCACCCCCATCAGCGATTTCCTCTTGGGCAAGTTACTCACCCCAATATGCTTGGGTTTCCCCATCTTTAAGATGCGGACGTTAATAATAACTATCTTACAGGGTTGTTGTGTGGATAAATGAATATTCCTAAGGAGCTTGTTTCATTGTCCTCTTTACTGTCCATTTCTCCATCCAGACCCCTCCCCTCAAACCTCATTCCTCACAACCCTAGATCTTAGACTCTCCTCCAAACAGTAACCCTTTCTGCCAGGCTACTTCTCCTCAAAACTTCACTGGCCTTGTGTACCCTTCATGGCCCAGGTCTAGATTTTCCTCATCTCCAGGACATTCATTCGTTCATCCAACAGACATTTTCTTTCTTTCTCTCTTTCTTTTTTTAAAGATTTTATTTTGTTTGAGAGAGACAGAGCAAGAGCACGAGCAGGTGGGAGGAGCAGAGAGAAAGGGAGAAGCAGACTCCCCGCTGAGCGTCAGGGAGCCCGATGGGAGGCTTGATCCCAGGACCCTGAGATCATGACCTGAGCCAAAGGCAGACGCTTCACCGACTGAGCCACCCAGGCACTCCAACAGACATTTTCTGACTCCATCCTCCATCCCAGGCCCTGTGCCGAACACTGATGATACAGAAATAAACTGGCCATGGCTTTTGTCCTCAGGGAGCTCCTAGTCTCAAGGAGAGACAGACAGGAAAGCAAAGACACACTGTACAGTAAGTGTGGAGACTGGTACAGGATGCATTGGAACTTAGAGGAAGGAGCCTGCTTGGTGACATCACAGGAGTCTTCCCAGAGGAGGTGGCATTCAATTGGTGAATGAACAAGTAAACTGTGATATATCCACAAAATGGACTATTTATTCAGCAATGGAAGGAAATCATCTAGCCATGAAAAGACACAGATAGGCATTTTACTAAGTGAAAGAAGCCAGTCTGAAAAGTCTGACATTCCAGAAAAGAAAGACGTATACATAAGGTAAACAAATCACTGGTTGCCAGGGGTGGGGAGGGGTGGAATTAAATGGGTAAAACGGGATTTTTTTTTTTTTTTAAGACAGTGGAACTATTTTGTATGATACTGTAATGGCGAATACAAGATACTAAGCATTTGTCATAAAGAGTAAACTTTAATGTATGCAAAATTAAAGAAATCATTGAGGAGGTCAGGGGATCCCAGGAGGGAACGCAGAACGTGACAAAAAATATACAAGATAATCCTAGAGCATCTTATAGTACCAAAACGTAAGAAAATGCTAAAAATACAAAAAACAAAAAACCCCCAAACCCCAAATGCCACCATGATGGGTATATGCCAAAGGCACACAGGAGCCAGCTGAAAGGCTGTGGCCATTGGCCAAAGCTGGAGCGATTTGAAAATTTAAAGTGTTGGATTATAACTTGTACAAAATAAATACCTATGAGCCCAAATATAAATATATATATATATTTGAATAAATAAAGGGGGAGAAGAGACAAATCTATATAGACGAATTCCCAGTAGTTTATGTAGGTACTCTGCCCTTAATAAGGTAGGTTGTAACCCCTACCCCTTCAGTGTGGGCTGTACATAGTGACTTTCTTCCAGAGAGTGTAGTACATAACGGGAGAAAGAAAAAGTAATTTTATAGTGTAGAAATGTGACACTGCCTCACGCCAGATGATCAAGGTCCACATCAATAGTGATGTCATGTTGGTAGTATGCACCCTTAATTGGATGGCTTGAGAAGGGCACTTGACCTCTGTGGTCATCCTCCTGCCAACCCATAACCCCAGACTAATGAGAGGAACATCAGACAAATCCCAATTTAGGGATGTTCTATAAAAGATCTGACCAGTCGTACTTAAGACTGTCAAGATCATAAGGAAACAAGGGAAGTCTGAGAAACTATCACAACCAAGAGGAGTCTGAGAAGACATGATGCCTAATGATGTAATGTGGTGTCCTGGATGGTATTCTGGAACAGCAAAAGGATAATCAGGGAAAAAATGATGAAATCTGCATAAAATATGGGCTTTAGTTAATAACAGTGTGTCAATCTTAGTTCATTAACTGTGACAAATGTACCATTCTAATGTGAGATACTAATAGTGTGTGATGGTTAATTTTAGGTGTCAACTTGCCTGGGTCACAAGTGCCCAGATAGTTAGTCAAACATGATTTTGGGTGTGTCTGTGAGGGTGTCTCCGGGTGCAATTATCATCCATTGAATTGGCAGAGTAAAGATATGGCCCTTCCCATGGTGGGTGGGCCTTATCCAATCAGTTGAAGACCCGAATGGCACAAAAAGGCTGAGTAAGAGGGAACTTCACCTGCCCGACTGTTGAGCTAGGACATCAGTCCTCTGCCCTTAGACTAGAACTGACACCATCAACTTTTCTGGTTCTCAGGCTGTCGGGCCCAGACTGGAACCGAACCCCCAGTTCTCCTGGGTCTCCAGCTTGCTGATTGCAAATGTTGGGACTGCTCAGCACCCATAATCACCTAAAGCCAGTTCCTTGCAATAAATATCTTTACACACACTACACACACACACACACACACACACACACACACACACACACGTATCTCCTGTTGGTTCTGTTTCTCTGGAGAACCTTGACTGACAGCTACCGAGGTGGAGTGTATACAGGAACTCCCTGTACTATCTTCAGGATGATTGTGTAAGCCTAGAACTGTTCTAAATAAAAGAAGTGGATGCAATATCATGATGTGGGTGATGGTTACCTGAGCGCACACACATGTAAAACTCATGAGCTGTACACTTAAGGTTTATTCACCTTATTGAATGCTATCATCAGTACTCAAACTATTTAAAGGGGACTTAATGTAAATCTGACTTTCCAGCTTCTTTCGGAAAATCAGAAGATCTCAGAGCTCCAGCCTGCTTCACCTGGCAGCAGTCGCTGGGGTTGGGTGGCAGGTGCCCCCTTTAAGCAGAGAAGGGGCTCTTAACTTGGCACAGTCTCTGCCTACTCGCTGTTCCTTCCCGGCCCTGCTCCCAGCTCCAGCAGTTACCTTGTTGGGATCTTCCGGGCCAGCAGCGTTTTTGGGGTAGAAGGGCACGTTTGGTGCCAGCAGATACACGGCAGCCAATTAAGACCATCCCATCATTGCCTCCCGCCCCCACCCCAACCCCAGAGCCTGCCAGACTGGGAGCCGGGGGGCAGTGGGATTCTAGTCTTCCTCCGACACACTTCCATACTACCCCCCAGCCCCCGCAGAGGGGACAGACATCTCAGGCGGAAACGCCCTCTGTTCCGGCTGGTGGAGGGGTGGTGGGAATGAGAGTGGATCACAGCTCCCAGAGAAGTTGTGGGGCTGGGGCATCTCCTCCTCAAACCCAGGCCTGCCACACTGGCAGGAGAGAGCCCATAATTGAGTATTAGGATTAATTGGGATCTGCTGGGCGAGTGAGTGGTGCTGAGGCTGCTGCAGCCAACCCTGGCACCTCGGTGTCCAGGCTCTGGGCTGCGCGGGACACCAGTAACCGCCTGCCTTCTCCGTCCCAAGGCCATCTTGTGGGCAGCGGCGATGGTGAAGCCCAGGCAGCGGTGCTGAGAGCTCCCGCCCCTTGACCAGGAGGTCAGGGCTCCCCTCCCTCCCGGCGGGCGGGCACAACAGTGGGTCACGCAGTGCTCTGCAGAGCAGGTGTTTGCTGCAGCTAGGAGAGCCTGAGGCCCGGGGCCTCCCTGACTCCGAGGCACCTTCTCCCGTGCACTGGAGCCAGGGGGTGAGTCCCACCTCTGCATCATCCTAATTGTGTGTGACTCTATGCCAGCCCTCATCCTCCCAGAGCCTTCTGGTGCCGGGAGCAGGGGCCGGATTAACCTGGGGACAATGGGGGTGTGTGTGTCACGACCAGTTCCTGAACAGGAGGAGTGTGATGCAACGCAAGTCACACTTTGGGAAGAAGAATCTGGCAGCACATGCCAGGGCATGTGTCGCCCTGGGCCTGGCAGGAGCCTTTTTTAAAGGATGAGGGGCCGAGTGCATCCCACCTCTGGGAAAAGCAGGTGGCGTTTCCTGACACTTGTTCTGGGTAAGAGGCAAGGATCCTGGGATGGGCCCAGGATCCAGAAAAGGCCCCTGCTCACCTGGAGTTCACAGTCGAGGGGTCTTACAGCCCAGGACTTAATTTTGGGGGGCCAAAGATTGGGTCCTCAAGGGTACAAAAGTGAGAGGTAAAAGCCATCTCTCCAGGCCCCAAGATACTTTATTCTTAGAGAGACAGGGATGGGCATGGGGGCTTGGTGAAGCAGCGGGGGTGAGGGCAGGCCGGGGTGTTACACACAGGCAGGGTAGGAAGGAGAGGGGGAGGGTCATTTGGAGGCAGGGGGCTTCCTGGCTGTGGTCCCAAGTCCTGTCTGCTGTCTCCAGCTTCTGTGCAGGCTCAGCGAGACATCATTCGCACAAACTCTGCCAGGACAAAGCCAAGGTTGCAGGTCTGCTCTCTGGAGCCCAATCGCTGTGAGACCAACATACTGGCCTTGAGCTGGGAGGGAGTGCGGTCCAGGGCGGGGCCTGCAAGGGAGTCTTCTGAATCTGGTAGGGAATAGGCCTTTGGGCTAAGAAGAGGGGCTTTGTTTTATGGGGAAAACAAGAAACAAAAAAACAAAACCCTTGCAACTAAACCTATTTCCCTTTTTGCTTTGGCTGCCAGGAAGCTCAGGAACAACTTTGGGGCCTGCTTTGGAGAATTTCTACATACTGATTTTCCTTGGCTTCCTATTATTATTTAACCCTTGTTTTCGCCCTGTGGGAACCCAGCACAGAGCAAGAACTGGGTTCTGGTCAGCTCTCCTGGCTTCACGTCTCGGCTCCATCCACATCTTTTGCTAAGCATTCACACTTTCCTAAGAATTGACTTTCTTGTCCTGCTTACGGGGAGAGGACATAGAGTGCTCAGCCCGGGGTCTGGCACGCAGTGACAACGCTCCTTTTATCCTTTCCTTGCCAGTTAAAAACCTCCCAGGGCGTGTGGCACTGAAGGCGGAGGGCGGCGGGTGGTACCTTCAAAGTCCACCAGGCCGTCCCCGTTGAGGTCAATGTCATGGAGGATCTCGTCCACCTCCCGCTGGCTGAGGCGCTCCCCCAGCAGGGCCTTGAGGGCTGCGCGCAGCTCAGCCAAGCTGATGCAGCCGTCCCCGTTGGTGTCAAACTGTGGTAGCGTTGGTCGTGGTGTTGAGTCCCCGATCGAATCATTCATTCACTCCAGCCTCACTCACAGCAGACCCGCGGCCCCCCGCCTGCCCTCCAGCGCCAGTGGCCGTACCTCCCGAAAGGCGTCCCGTAGCTCCCTGACGCCGATCATGTCTGCCGTCTCTGCCAGCAGCTTGGGGCCCATCAGCTCCACAAAGTCTTCAAAGTCCACCTTTCCACCACCTGGGGGGCCATGCCGTCAGAGATCTCAGCAATCAGGGACCCCTGCCCAGCCCTGGCTCCCCCTGCCCGCCTCTCCTGGCGTCTGGCTCTCTCCCCTGCCCCACTAAGTGGGCCCTTCCCTCTTGCGGGGGCCCAGGCTGGATCATCTGTGTTTTCTGGTGGTTTCTCTTAATTTTCCTGAAGACTTTGGTTGGGTTAAAGTCCTGGCTCCCATGACCTGGCTCTATGACCTTAGCCAAGTCACTTAAGCTTCCAGAGCCTCAGTTCCCTCATCTCAAAAATGGGGATAATGGTCCTTGCCCTGCCCACCTCGTAGGGGATGGTGAGATTCTTCAGAGGCAGAGAAAGTGCCTTGAGAATGAACAGGGTCCTGGGCTCTGGGGGCCAACCTGTGTGGGTATCTGCCTTTCCCCGCGCGGCCCAGCTGCTTGAGCCGTGGCCATGGGCTCTGGAGGACTGGGGGTGGGGCAGGTCTGAGGCACATACTGATTTGCTGTGAGATCTCAATGAGCTCCATCTCAGTGGGCATGTAGCCCAGCGTACGCATGCAGGCGCCCAGCTCCCGGTAGCCGATGTAGCCGTCCCGGTCTCGGTCAAACTCCTGGAAGGCCACCTGCAGCTCTGCCGGGCAGGGTGGGGTCAGCTCCTCCCACACGTCCCCCTGGACCCCAGCCTGGACCAGCACACCCTTCTTCTCTTGGTCTAATCACTTCCTCCTTGTAAACATCAGTTTCTCTGCCACTTGAGCATCTTGGCACATGCTATTTCTTTAATTCATTCTTTCAACAAATATTTAAGGAGCGCCTACTATGGGCCAAGCTGTGCTCTAGGTACTGGAAATATGGCAGGAAGGGAGGGAGGGAGGGGAGGGAAAGGAAACAATCCCTAACCTCATGGGGCTCACGTTCTGGAACACTCTATCCTCTTCTGGTCCTTATGTCACCTACTCAAGAAAGTCTTCCCTCTACATTGGGTCCCCTCCAGCCCATTTGTTCATTTCCTTGAGAGCACTTAGCACCATTTATACTCATAGTTGACTTATGGACATCTGTCCCCGGAGGACATGGGCCACATCTGTCCAGTTTGCTCCCTTCCCCAGTGCTCCCGGCACAGGGCTAGGCACACGGTAGGCACCCAGGAGGTGTTTGCTGAATGAACAAATATGAAAGTGGCCCTTGACCCGCCTGGCAGATGAGATCTGGGAACTGGCACCTGGGGGCTCTGTCAAGCCCTCCCCGTTCAGTCTGGTCCCCATCTCCTCGATCTCCCGCAGCCTCCTCCTTGCCCCTAGTCCCTCCTGGAGACTAGCTGAGGCCCCATCCAGTGCCCACCCCTCTGGAGGCTCTAGCCTTTTCAAAAACCCTTTACCTTCGATCTCCTCTGGCCGCAGCTCCCGGTCCTGGGGGGCACAGAGAGGTGAAGAATTCCCCGGACCACCCAGGCACCTGCACCCCTTCCTCTGGTTCTTTGGGGCCCCCCACTCAATACCCCCAATGGGACGGGCAGGGCCTGTGTCTGTCTGACATTGCTCAGACCTGCTCCTACCCATTTCTGCTGACTGGCCTGGGTGTCTTGGGCCCCCCCCCTTCCCTGCCCCCTGCCCAGATCTTTCCCAGGGCCCATCTCCCGCCCCCACCCTCTTGTAGGGCCCAGAGCTCCATTTGCCAGAAGTGGATCTGGGGTCGGGCAGAACCTCAGACTTGGCCCCGGGGACCTCAGTGTCATTGTATGTCTCTTGTTCTCTCTCTCTGCCTCTCCTGGAGGCCCTGCAGCCTCCCTGCCCACCCCCTTGGTGGCTGTCTCTGAGGTACTCCGGGTCTCTCTCTGTCCTCTCCTCTCTCTTTCCTGGGTCTTCCCCCTGTTTGAGCTTGTTTCTGTGTCTCCACTTTTCTTTGCCCCACCCCCTGGATCAGTGTGCCTTTGCTCTGAAGACCCCACTCCATCCTCTCCCCGCTACTCAAGGAGAGGCAGAGAGGAGGCGAAGGCAGGGGCGGTTGTACATACGAGTTGGGTGGCGGCGATGCTGGGCCGCAGGAAGATGCAGGCGGGCCCCACCAGGCTGTTGAGCACCGAGTAGCCCTGGATGCCCGGCCCTGGGCCCCCCTGCTCCTCAGGGCCGGGGCCGGGGCCACGGCTGTGGCGGGAGCCCCCTGGGGGGGAGCTGGGCCACTGCCAGTGGTCCTGCAGCAAAGCCAGCTATGAGCTGGGGTAGCGGCCCCTCCGCCCTCATTTACCAGCCTCTCCCGTCTTTGGATCCTGGCCCAGGACAGTGAGGGCTCTCACCCATCAACACTCTAGGCTGGAAGTGTCCATCCCCTTATTGTTCAGTTGGGCCAACCGAGGCCCCCTGAAAAGGAAGGGACTGGGCCAAGGTCACTCAGAAAGCCGGTGGCGGAATGGGACCTTGAGCTCAAGCTCTGCACGTCCCATCTCTGACTAGCAGAGGGCAGGGGCAGCCGGCACAGGCAGCTAGATGGGCAGCTGGGGGCCCTGATGAGCTTGGCAGGGAAGGCCCCGTGGTCCTTGGGAGGGGCTAGAGGCCGGGGCCTTCCCCGGGGAAATCTGGATTGGTCTAGGGCAGTGGGAACCAGCCCCTCTAAGCCCCCGGCCGTGCTCTATGTCTAACCCCAGCCCAGCCCTCACACGGGGCTCTGCCCGCCCCACCTGACCCTTCCAGGCTACAGCCCGGTCTCCTGGCCTTGGCTTCTTCCCCTCAGCCGTCCTACCTTCGGGCCCCGGTGTCGAGGCCGCTTGGCACAGTTTCCCATGGGCTCCTGAACCATGCCAGGCCTGGAGTCCTGGGGGCAGCCCAGGCCTGGGCCTCAGCGGATGCTGTGGGCTCCTGCCAGCCCCCAGCTGCTCCCAGTGAGAGTCTGGGAGCATTGCAGGGGATTTTCCTAGGGTTTTGTGGGGAAGATTGGGAGCGGGTGGGCAGGCGGGGAGCCCTGGGCACAGGGGCTTGGGTCCTAATCCAGGATTATCTCTGAGCATCTCTGCTGATGAGGGGGGCCACTCAGGACCCAAGGCCCCCTGGAAGGCACAGCCTCTCTGTGCTCGCTCCTGAGGGTCTTCCAGATACCCCCTCTCCAGCGCTTTCTCCCCCAACCCCTACCCATAATCTCCCCCAATCAGTAGAGATTTAATGTCTTCAGAAGCAGGGCCTGGACCTGGGGGGAGGACATCAGGTGCCCGGTGTGCCGGGGAGGGGTGGAGCACCAGCCCTCCGTATGGACTCAGCACACCCTCCCCCTACTCCCCATCCCGAGAGGAGGCAGTCTTGGCCCAGTCCAGGGGTTCCTGCCCCTCTCTGCCAGGACCCTTGCTCTCACCTTGGAGCACCTGCCCACCCTGGCTGCCCTCAGCACTCCTGCCTGGACCAGCCCCCTGGCCCTTGTACTCAGGTGAAGAGTGGAAGGGGGCCAACTCTGGGAGCTGTGGGCTGGATGCAGGGCTCAAGTGAGGGCAGAAGTGGGCAGAGACACCAGCCTCCTGGGCAGCTGACAGACCCACTGAGCCCTCCATCAAAATGCACGTCCCGGGTCTCCTCCCTGAGCTCTGCCCTGGATCTGTCCTACGGGGCCCCCGTTAGAGTGTGGGGTCCCCGCTGTTCCCTTATGGTGCCCTCAGATGCCCCACACCCCTGTGCCCTTTACCTGCCCGTAGGCCGCCTGCACCTGGGCCTCCAGCTCCCTGAAGAGTGCCCGCCTCCTGGTGGCTGCTGGGCTGGCAGGAGCCTGGCTGGGCCCTGGAGTGCCCTCAGAGGGGCCGGGGTCCCCCGCAGGGAGACTGCCATCTGCCTGGCCCTGGGGAAGGGCCATGGAGACGGGGGCTTGGGGCCTCCTGCTCCCACTCTGGTCGCCCCGTTCCTGTGGGAGGGTGGCTTAGTGGGCAGCTGTGGGTGGGGTCCCACAGGGTCCCTGCTACTCTTTTCTCTGTTCCTCTCTCCACAGGCCCAGGACCCCCAAATCCTGTAGCTTTCCTAGCTCCCCAAGCTGCTTACACAACCCCTCCCCCAATCCACCAGCCTCCAGCCCCCCGCTGGCCACCGCCTGAGCCCTGGCCCCCCCCCCCGCCCCGCCCCGACCCTGGGCCGCCCTTGCAGACCCCCAGCCGCCTGGTCTCACAACCCCCATGCTCACTGCCCTGCTGTTCTGTCTTGCTCGCCACTCCCTCTGCCCCCTCAGCCCTCAGCTCTGCGTCCATCCCATCTGCAGTCTCATGCCACTCCCTGCACCCTGCTGACATCTGTCCAGCTGTCTCTGTGGGTCTCTCTGACCACTCATGCCCATCTCTGTCCTTCCCTCCCTCTGTGGCATGAGAATCTCTCTCACATTGGTCTGTCCGTCTTTCTGTCTGTCCACCCTTGCTCTTCCTGTTCTCCCCACCATCCCCCCTCCCAGGATGACCCCTGGGTTCTGAAAAGGCAGCCCCCCCCAACTGGAGCCTGCCCCCAGACATGCCCCCTTCTCCCCACCCAGAGCCCCCGGGCAGCTCTGAACCCCCCCACCTTCTGCCAGCACCTCCCACCTACCTTCTGCTGACCTGCAACCTCTTGCTCCTCAGGGCAAGATGTGGGGCTGGGCCCGGCAGCCCCCACTGGCCTCTTGTGCCCCTTTGTTATGCCCCCAGCCCTCTTCCTGCCCAGCTGCCTGGTCTTCACCTCCCACAATGAGGTCAGTTGTCCTGCCCCAGCTCTGCTCCAGGCCCCTCATGATTTATTCACCTGCTCCCCGCACCAGCCTTTGTCTGAGGGAAACAGATCCCACCAGACACCTGCCACCCGAGCTGGTGGCTCTGGCCCTGCTCAGCCACGCGAGCGGCCACCCATTCATGTATTCCTTTTGCAAACATCTGAGGCCAGCTGGGACTGAGCCTCAGGGGCTATACAGACCGGGTCTGTCCTGAGGGTCCTGGTACCAGGCACATCAAACTCAGGAAAGGGCCACAGACAGTCTCCAGGTGCTTGGGAGCACTGGCCCAGACAACAGGGGGGCTTCATGGAGGAGAAGAGAGGATGGGGCGGCCTTTTAGGCATTGCCCACTGAGGTTTAACCTGTGCTCAGCCTTGGATGAGCGCTGGGACCCCGGCAGGGATCAACTGTGAATGTGGAATGTTCCAGGCACTGGCATCCAGCAGAGTATGTTAGGTAGAGGCCCTCAGGAGGGAGGCAGAAGTCAGTAGCCCCTGGAGAGGGTATGGGTGGCGAGAGGCCAGAGAAAATTTCAGAGGGGCTGTATCTTCAACAAGCATCATGGAGTACCTACTATGTGCCTTCCCGGGTGTTGGGAACCAGTCCCTGCCTCCTGGAACCTTCCAGCCAGTGGGGGATGCACATTCAGCAAGCTCAGAATGACTATGGAGGAGAACAGGCTATTGAGAGGGAAGAGAATGAGACCTTGCTGTGACGGGGTCTGAGAATGTGGCGTGGGAGCCAAGACCAGAGAAATGGTGGGAGTGACCACCTGAAGGGAAGGATGGCCAGCAGGCAGAGGGAGCAGCCCCCAGCCCTGAGCATGGCTGAGGATCTGAGTAAGGGTCAGGATTCAGAAGTGAGCGGACACCGGCCAAGTGGTCAAGGGTGGGAAGGGCTCCTTGTGACCGCTCAAGTTGACCACTTGAAGCTTCAGCCTTCCCCAGCCTGCAACCTTCCTGTCTGCCCTCAGGGTCTCGCCTCCTCCTGGAGGCCAGAAGGGTACTACATCCCAGGCAGCATTGCAAACATCCTTCAGATGCAGGAATTCTAGCATTTTCTGCAAGATCTTATAGAAGGCCTACAGGCTGGGATTTCCCTGTGTGCTTACTATGTGGCCCTCAGCAAGGTATTTCACCTCTCTGAGCCCCAGTTTCCTGAGCTGGAAAATGGCCGTTGACCTAGGCCTCCTGGTACCTTTGTGAAAATTAAGTAAAAGACCTAGCAGTTTCCTGGCACATAGGAAGGGCTCAAAAAATGGTGGATGCCACGTGTGACGAATGATCCTATGTCCAAATGACCATCTGAGAAGGTGGGAAGTGGGAGAAATGTGTGCCCCAAAGTATAAGCCAAAGTAGTGGGGGCATTAACTGGTCAGAGTATAGTGGATAAAAGTGTCTTCCATCAAGAAGCGAAGCCTTTGTATCTAGGTGGAGAAAGCCTGGCTTGGAAATCCTTCCTCACTTGTGTTCAATTAACAACATACCAGGGTATTCATTTTGATGCCCTTGACTTGCCCAGTCCAACTTAGCCAAGCTGGAGCTCCAGCTCCAGTACCTAGCATGTCCATGTGGATCAGTGGTTGACGGACATGGATGGATGGGTGGATGGATGGGTGGATGGATGGATAGATAGGCAGCTGACTGGATGGAAGGTTGGGCAGATGATTTGATAGGCTAGTGGTTAAATAGTTGGTAGATGGATGGATAGTCAGGTGGAGCATGACTGGGTGGGTAAATGGGTAGCTGGATGGATGGAGAGATAAATAGGTAGATGTTCTGATGGACTGCTGGTCAAACATTTGGTTGTTGGATGGGTGGAGGATTGGATAGATGGGTATATAGATAGACAGAGAGATGATTGGAGGTAGATAGATGGCTGGGTGGATGGACTGCTGATGAAGGCTTTATATTCTTCATTGAAAGAATCGATTAGAATGGAGACCGTATTTTACCTATTCTGGTGTTTGCCATGATGCCTAGCCCACTCACAGCCTGGTACATACTAATAAATGTGTGAATGAAACTTGTGTCTATCTCTTCCACTCTGAGCTGTGATTCTTCTTTTTATAAAAAAAAAAAATATTATTTAAGTAGGCTCCATGCCCAACTTGGACCTTGAACTCACAACCCTGAGATCAAGAGTCGCATGCTCCACCGACTGAGCCAGCCAGTCACCCCTGAGCTGTGATTCTCCTGATGGCAAAGAAGATGGCTCCTTCTCCACCCTGTTCCCCACAAGTCACCCCAGGCTTGGCACACAGAACCATGTAGAGATACTCTTTCACACTCACCAGGATAACGAAAGTGAAAAAGACAGTAGCAGTGTTGGAAAAGACGTGGAGAAGTTGGGGCCTTCGCAGGCTGCTGTTGGGTTTACAAAATGGTACAGCCACTTTGGGAAAGAGTTTTGGCAGTTCCTCAAAATGAGCTACCATGTGATCTAGCAAGTCCACCCCTGGGTTTGTACCCAAGGGAATTGAAAGCATAAATTCCTGCAAAAATTTGCACACAAATGTTCATAGTAGCCTGATTCATAAAAGCCCCAAAGTGAAACAACCCAAATGTCCATCATTGAAGGAATGGGTAGACAAAATGTGTATGCCCATGTCACGCGATATTACCCAGCCGTAGACAGGAATGATGCACAATTTTTTTTGAAGATTTTTATTTAGGGCGCCTGGGTGGCTCAGTTGGTTAAGCGACTGCCTTCGACTCAGGTCATGATCCTGGAGTCCCGGGATCGAGTCCCCGCATCGGGCTCCCTGCTTAGTGGGGAGTCTGCATCTCCCTCTGACCTTCCTCCCTCTCATGCTCTCTCTCTACCATTCTCTCTCTCTCTCAATAAATAAATAAAAATCTTTAAAAAATCTTACTTTAAGAGTTTTATTTATTCATTTGAGACACAGAGATACACAGAGAGAGAGCGTGAGCAGGGGGAGAGGCAGAGGGAGAGGGGCAAGCAGGCTCCCCACTGAGCCAGGAGCCTGATGTGGGTCTAGATCCCAGGACCCCGGGATCATGACCTGAGCCGAAGGCAGACGCTTAACCATCTGAGCCAGCCAGTCACCCCAATGCACTATTTTTTTTTTT